ATAGGGGATCAAAGCAGATGCTGAGACTCAGGGCCAAACTTTGGGCAGTGGGAAGGGAGTCTTATGGAGAAAGAGCAGGATGGGAATAGAAGGACATGGAGGGGACAGGAGCCTCACAAGGAGATAAAGAAGCGAAAGGATCTGAGCCTAGGGGGTCCTGCAAAGACTGATGCACCAAGGGAGGACCATGCATGGAAAGTACCTAGACCCTCTGCTCAGATGTGGCCAACTGGCAGCTCAGTTTCCATGTGGGTATCTGAGTTTTGGGATCAGGGGCTGCCTCTATCATGAACTCAGTTGACTGCTCTTTGATCCCTTGCTCCTGATGGCGCAGGCTTGCCAGGTCATGGAGGAAGAGGATCCAGGCACTCCTGATGAGAGTTAACAAGCTATGGGAAGATGGCAACACTGGAGAACTCTCCCTTTCAATGGACTAGGGGAAGGGATTAAGGGGAAGAGAGACGGAGGGTGGGACTGGGGGAAGTGAGGCAGGGAGCTTCAATTGGGTTATATAATGCATAAATTGTGAAGAAAAAATGTATATGACCCCTTTTAAGATTCATTGTAACATAAAGGAAAAGTTATTATAAAAAAAGTTGAGCAGGATGGGAGACCTGTATCTCAAAGTCTATGTACTTTGTTCTAGAAAATTGAAGACCCACCCTCAGGTATAAAACTATGCAAAGTGAGCTTCCTGACAGAAGCTTATGATTATTAAGTTTTCATTGAGGTCGTAGCAGACAGCAAACCAAAAACAGGAAGATTTGAGATAGGTGGGGCTACTAAGAGCTGATACTCTAAGAAGCCATGTGAACTCAGACAGCAGAATTATTAGCAATAAAACTACTTGGAGTCATTTAATGTACAGCCCAAAGGTCCACAGTATAGACAAGCCAGTAAATAATATCTATTAAAGAAAAAAAAAAAAACTCTACAAAATAATACAACACAAAGCAATTCCAAGGCAAATCAGAGTCAGTATGGAATCTGCCTTAGAAAGCTTTCCACTTTAAACAGGTTTAAAGCATAAAACTAGAGCAGTCAAAACATTGAACTGTTGTTTTGTTTGTGTGGGCTTGCTTATTCCGAGAACATGCCAGACTGATGAGGACTTACTAGACACTGCAAGTTAGTAGGTCACTAAAGCTACGAATCAACAGAGAGAAGGCATCTGTTGCTTAACAGCCTGGAATCAAATGCTGTAGGTTGGGTAAATTTAGATCAGTTATGAGATCACTTGAAAGTTGTTTCTTTAATTATAAGAAAATCCCATTCATAAATGTTATGTCAAAGAGTTTACGTTCAAAGCCTGGTGCAAAGGAAGTGTGACCACAAAGACAGTATCTGGAAATATCATGAGGGAGCCATTATTTATGATTTTTCTCTTCTCCCTCAAGAAAGCAGTATTCTTCTTTCTGTATGGTGTAAAACTTTATACCTGGACCTGATAATTAGGCTATCAGAGAACCTGGCATGTTTTTCTTGGGTGGGCTCAATCAGACTTTCTCTTTCTGAATCGTTTTCTTTCACAAATGAGCCTGCTTCATCTGAAGCTGGGTTTTCCCTCCCATTTTTGGCCTAGGCCAGTAAAAACCAACAAATCAGGATCAGGGTCCAAATGCACCCTGGAATAAAGATCTCAGCCAACCACAGATACAGTGAATGTCCCTGAAAGTTGTCTGACAGGCAAGTTGCTTAAATATTTCAGTATGGAAGTTTACCAATTATTACAATGCTGTTTTCTTCATCAGTAGCTTTAATTACTACTCAGGTATGAATTCACTAAATGCAACATCTCCACAAGACCACTAATTTTGCAGCAAAGAAAGATGTACAAGATACATATATCATAGTAAAGGCCTAAAGTCACACAGCTCATCCTCCTTAGAGTGTTCACAAAGCAGCAGTCATAAAGATTTTTGTCATATAACTTCCCCACTTGAAGGTTTTTATTGTCCTCCTGCATGCCTAAGGGTAAAATCTGAAGATGAAATTTCTTCAAGGCCTTCCAGGTGTGAGACTAAGCTATGTTCTCAGCTTCATATGTAGTTACACAGGCCTCTGATGTTCTCGAGATCTGCCTACACCCTTTGTGCATGCCTACTTTTCCAAATAGAGATCTGGGAAAGCCCCAGCTGGCTTTACACATCCTTTTAGACTTCTGCTCAGAAGACACCTTTTCAGAGACACCCCCGCCTTTAAAAAAAAACAACAAAAAAAAACCTCCTTCCTTCATCATTCTCTTCCTTCCTTTCTCCCATTTCCTAATTAATGTAAGTGCTTATTAGTCACAAAATAAAAATTATGTTTTACAATTTTGTTAAGCGTCAAGGTCTCTCTACTTCTTCTCTCTACTTTTTATCAAACACACCTACAACTCCAACATTTTTTTTAATGTTAGAATAGCTTTCTTGAGTGTCTGGTCATCTCATCCTTTTTCTAATTCTCTTTCCTTAAAGATAATATGTTCTTGGAGGCCAGTTGTCTTTTTATTTTTTCCCCTGGGGCACATGTCCTCCATCTACAGATGATTCTTTCTATTTTCAGAATGGGCTCAGAGATAAGAGCTTCTAGGAGATAAGATCTGGTACTTCTAGGTAACAGAGCATCATGAACTTCTCAATGAAAAGTGAGTTCAATGAGTACTTGCTGTTGGCCAGTGTAAGCTAGTTTTTTTTTGTTGTTGTTTTGTTTGTTTTTGTAAAGCATCACTAAGTACAATTCCTCTGTTTCCCTTGATGTTTAGAGTTTCTTGGCTTCTGCCATTTTCCTGCTTCATCTCTATCTCAGTCTTCCTGTCCATCTACTTTTAGCTTAGATTTCATATCTTGCTTTCTACGTTTCATTGTGATTGCATGAATCTTCTTTTCTGTCTCAGTAAAATGAATTTGGATGATTTTGTTTTCCATCCTAACCCCAAGCATTTCATTCAGGAGGTCATCTGACTAGAGGTTTCTTACAGCTTTTTCTCATGTAACATTCTTGTTCTGAAGTTCACATGCTGCTCCCCATTTGTATTTTCTGTTTTTCTCCTTAAGCCTGTGAGTAGCAAGGAGATTTCAGATTCCTTGTGTATGAAGAGCCTTACTGCCATGTCTGTAGCAGTTTTTCTCTCCTGTCATTTTCTTTGATTTTTTTAAATTATTGTTCAAAGTTGCAACCTGCTTTGTCTTGATTCTCATTTGATATAGTGGAACCAGAGAATGCCTCTATCATCTTTACTGAAGACACAAGTCCTCCTTAAGCTATGTATAGCTCCATTCTTGCTCTTAGACTGTAGCATACAGTTTAGCTTGGAGTCTGTACTCCAGAGCCAGCCAGCCTGGATTCATGGCCTCGTTCCACCCATTATTAGCCTAGTGAGGTTTAGCTACTTAAGCTCAATTTCACAGTCCATAAAATGGTGATGTAAATATTTGCCCACAGGTATGTTGTGATGCCTAAATAAAATGTTACAACAACACAAAGCACTTTGAGCAATTACTGCTTTTTCTTATTCTACAATCATCTGCCCAAGGTTGGAACGAAGTGAAGTAGTGGAATTCTTTTTCAGGCTTGGTTATTACCATTTCTTCTAAACCTGGAAGACTTGTTTTTCTGGATGGAGAAATGTTTTCTCTGTGTGAAGGTTTCATAATCACAATCAAGCAGGCCCATGAGCCCTGCCATTTAAAGTGGCTGCTCTCTTTTATCTGTGTCTGCTTACACCCTGGGAATGAGGACATAGAGCCAGCTGCTTCACTTCAACAGGATAACCAGTAAAATCTCTTTGGAGTAGTCACAATCTCATGCCTATGGATGCCCAGGACTTGCCATGGATATTCCTTGGACTTCATAATGGGAACCATTGTTACTTCCTTGAGATCTCAGCTAAGTTTTAAGCAGGTAAGTGAAAGGGAAAGAGATACATGATGAAGTCAGCTATAGAACTGGAGATTAATGTCTCCTGAGACAGAGAAAATGACAGCTTGAAACTTTGTCAAATCCATATTGGGAGGATTAAACCTGTATAGTGGAGAATATTCTTATTATTTCTTAAATGGACAGAGAGATCACACACACACACACACACACACACACACACACACACACACAACCACACACATATTGTTTTTAGAAACAAGATTTATTTGTGCAGCCCTGGCTGTCCTAGCTCTGTAGATCAGACTGGACTTGAACTCAGAGAGTTCCTAAATACTGGGATTAAAGGGATGTGCTGCTGCCTCCTGGCTGAAAATTGTTTTTTGTTTGTTTTGTTTTGTTTTTTGTTTTTTTTTTTAAAGAATCCCATAAAGACAAAGGTAAAGTTGTTTATTTGCAAACAAACTGTTAACCAAGGAAGTGAATTTTTGTGAGCATTTACTTTAAATTAATAGAGAAAATGGAGCTGGGCAGTGGTGCTGCACACTTTTAATTCCAGTACTCTGGAGGCAGAGGCAGAGGCAGGCAGATCTCTGTGAGTTCAAGACAAGCCTGGTCTACAGAGTGAGTTCCAGGACAGCCAGGGCTACACAGTGAAACTCTCTCTTAAAAAAAAAAAAACAAGAGAGAGGGAGGAAGAGAGAGAGAGAGAGAGAGAGAGAGAGAGAGAGGATAACTCATTGATAGAATTGTCAGAAAAGGTTACACGTTCTAATACGTATCCCACTATTTCTGATTCTAAACTTTTGTTACTGTAAAATCACAGGACTTCTCAGTGTATCTCTAGGAGCTTTTAAGGAACATATTAATGAAACGTCCAAGTTTTCATTTGGCCATAAAATGTTAGCAGAGCTAAAGTTTTCTAGGATTAATGAATAACATGCCTTTATTTAGTTTACTTAAAAAAATCATTCTAAAAATCTGTTTACATATCTGTCCTCTCCAGGATTAAATTCATATTGGTTCAGCAGCTTGTTTACTGTTCTCTTCTGTTTCTTCTGCTTTTTTTTTTTTTTTTTTTTTTTTTTGTCTTCCCTTCTCAGTGCCCAACCCAAGTTCAAAGGCTGATGAGAGAGAAAAACTCATGAGCAGATTTCACTCTAGGGAAATTTGCTCAGTGGAGTGGATGGGATCTTGGTGCACGGGGAAAGATGTCAAGCTCCTCCTGGCTCCTTTTCAGCCTTGTTGCTGCTATTGCTGCTCAGTCCATCATCGAGAAACAGGCCAAGACATTTTTAGACGAGTTTAACCAGAAAGCTGAAGACCTGTATTATCAAAGTTCACTTGCTTCTTGGAATTATAACACCAACATTACTGAAGAGAATGCCCAAAAGATGGTGAGTTCTTGAGGCTATCTAGGGGGTATTGAAGGCTTCTTAAAGATTAGAATTACTGCCTAAAAAAAAAATTGGATAAAGAAATCATAGAAATCTCTGAAGTGTGAGGATGAATGATTGCATCTGTAGCTCTGATCCTAGTGTCCCAGATGATTAAATTCAACTGACCTTAGAGTTCATTTGGGAAATTGTTATGAATGAATTCTCTGTCCAGAATACAGGGACAAGTGAAACTGTTTGATAAAGCTGCCATTACTATTCTCATTATACTGACAGTGCAAAGCATTCATGGAAATGTAAAGTTATTGAGTCAATGATTTTCTTTAGCCAACAATGCCAACAGGACTCTCTGAAGATTACAGATGACATATTAACTGAAAAATGCAAGTGGAGGTTTACTGAAAGCAGCAGCTTAGTAATTAAGGTAACCATGGCTTAGGTGAAACTGGACTCGGGAATTCTTTCTTTCATTGTCACAGAGCTCTGAGGAATTTCCAAAGGTCATAGAAGAGAAGCTATAATTAAACTAGTCCTGAAAAATCTCAGCCTACTCTCAGGAAAGCAGCTTATTTTGTTTGACAAGTGCAAGGACTTAGAATATTTTTTCTCACAGAACTTGAAGTGCCTTTTAAGTATATTTAAGTGGTGGAAAATTGAGCAAGTATTTAAGAAGAGACTTTTCATATCATTTTTCTTCCAGCAATGTTTCCTTCAAAATTGTAGTTTAGAAGCTTCATTTCTTTCAAATGATCAGGATGCTGTCTGTTTAAATTACTTCCATTCATAGAACAGAGTGAATCTGAGAATGGCTGTCTCCTTTGAAATATTAAGATTTTTTTTCTATTTTTCTAAAGTTTAAGAAAACCAAAGATATTTTTGAAAATCTGATGTTGCCAAAGAAGTTGCTTTTATCTGATGTCTCATTTTGGTCTAATCCATGTTATCTTTAGTGTAACCATTTTTATAAGTTTTTATTTTATTTCTGTTTGTGGTCTATGTATTCTGTAGATGTTCTCAGATGAGACTAATGTAATGCTGGAGAGTTAGGTGGCCTATGTGGTTAGGTAGCTAAACTTCTGACATCCACATCCTGACCCCACCACATTTTAGATGAGTAAACTTTATTTTGTTAGTCTCACAATCTGGGTCTTAGATACTTTTTCATGTTAAGATTTATTTTTATTATTTTAAAATTGTGTGTGTATGTATGTGTGTGTGTGTGCGCGTGTGCGTGCTGTGAGTGCAGGTGTTCATAGGTCAGAGATATTGGATCCCCCACAAGCTGGAGTTACAGGCTGTTGTGTACCACCCAACAAAGATGTTGGGAAACAAACTTGCATCCTCTGCAAGGGAAGTCTGTATCTTAACCACTGATCCATCTTCCCAGCCCCAGCGTTACCTTAGTCACTTAGGAAAAAACTAAATAATACTCATATATGCTTCATCAGGGTCAAACAATTCCAGAATGATTTTTAACGCTTGTAGGCTCAGGGGGGCAGGAAGACATCCTTGTTATTAGTGTAGGAGGGAGAGTTTTTGAAGAGGTACATAATAATTCTTTTGAGAACCTACATATGCAGAAGTCCTATTATAGAGTAAGATGTAATGATGTTTGTTGAAACCATCAGTGAGATTATTATGGTATTGGTGTTTGGCTCAGTGCAAAAAAAATGTATAATTAAAAATGATAATATTTTGATTTTGATTATAGCCAAAACTAGAAATGGAAGAATATAAATCATCAGGTGTTTTAAACTGGAGAAAAGCGTGCGTTCTTTAAAGGAAAAACACAGTATTTAAATGAAAGAAAAATGACAAGGGACTCCATATCCCCTTTGCCAGAGCGTGGAGGAAGGTGCATCAAAGCACTCAGGTGAACCACTATGGGTTTGCCTGAAGGGGGAGTCAAGTTGGGGGTGGGTGTTCATTTTCCTGTTCTCTCTTAGTTTCATGTGTTGAGATTCTCTTACATATTAGGCAGTGGACAGGTATGACAGGGTATTGCTGAGATACACTGTGCTGTAACGGCAATGAATGAACACAGGAGTGTGACCATAACATAGAAAGTATGAAGTTGAGCCAAATGTCCTGAGTTTATATCCTCCTTTGAATCTTAGAAGCTATAAGTCTTAATTAAGTGTCTTGTTGAAGCTAGAGTTTTTCCTCACATACTATATTCCAATTATAATTTTCTTTTCCTTTACTTCTCCCAGTTCCTCCCCGATTCCCCTCCTGTCCAGATCCAACATACTTCTAAGAGATAATAATAAAATAAAATATAATAAAATAGAACAAAAAACTAACACATGGGATTAGGACAGAACAAACAAACAAACAGAAGCACTCAAGAAAAGGCACAGAAACTAGATATAGCCACAGAGACTCACTCATTCACATACTCAGAAATTCCATTAAATCACTAAACTGTAAGCCATAATATATATATATATATGCAAAAGAGAGAGGGAGACAGAGAGAGACAGAGACAGAGAGAGACAGAGAAAGAATATATAATAAAAATAAGATAAAATGAAAAACAAAAACAAACAAAACAAAAAAAAAAGAAAACGCTCTGACACAGTATTAGGAGACAAGGAACCTGCAAAAATGCCTTTGAGTTCGTTTTCTGTCGGCCATCTACTGCTGAGTATTTAGTTTGTTACATGCCCAGAATGTCCTTAAAAGTAGTTTGTTTTGAGAATTCTCAACAGAGAAATATCGAATGACAGAGAAACACTTAAAGAAATGCTCAACATCCTTAGTAATCAGGGAGATGCAAATCAAAACACCCCTTAGATTTCACGTTACACCCATCAGAATGGCTAAGATCAAAAACTCAAGTGACAACACATGCTGGAGAGGATGTGGAGAAAGGGAACCTCTCCTCCATTGCTGGTGGGAATGTAAACTTGTACAATCACTTTGGAAATCAATCTGGTGCTTTCTCAGACAATTAGGAATAGTGCTACCTCAAGATCCAGCTATACCACACCTATGCATATAACCAAAATATGCTCAACTATACAAGAAGGACATTTGCTTAACCATTTTTGTAGCAGCTCTATCCATAATAGTCAGAATCTGGAAACAACTTAGATGTCCCTCAACTGAGGAATGGATACAGAAATTGTGCTATATTTACACAATGGAATACTATTCAGCTATTAAAAACAAGGAAATCATGAAATGTGCAGGCAGATGGTGGGAGCTAGAAAAGATCATCTTGAGTGTGGTAACCCAGAAGCAGAAAGACACACATGGTATATACTCACTCATTAGTGGTTATTAGACATATAATATAGGAGAAACATACTAGAATTAGAATCTATACTCCCAAAAAAGCTAAACAACAAGGAAGACCCTAGGGAAGATGCTCAGTCCTCTTTCAGAAGGACAAATGCGATAGACGTCTGAAGTAGGAGAAGACAGGAAACAGGACAGGAGCCTACCACAGAGGGCCTCTGAAAGACTCTACTGATCGAGGTATCAGTGGAGAAGCTGAGACTCATAGCCAAACTTTGGGCAGACAGGGAATTTTATGAAAGAAAGGGAAGACAGAGAGACCCGAAGGAGACAGGAGCTCCACAGGGAGTCCAACAGGTTCAAAAAAATCTGGGCCCAGGGGTCCTGCAGAGACATATACTCCAACCAAAGGCCATGCATGGAGATTGCCTAGACCCCCTGCTCAGATATAGCCCATAGGCAGCTCAGTCTCCAAGTGGTTTCCCTAGGAAGGGAGCAGGGGCTGTCTCTGACATGAACTCAGTGGCAGGCTCTTTGATCACCTCGCCCTGGTGTGTGCAGCCTTGCCAGGCCACAGAGGAACCGGTCCTAATGAGACCTGATCGGTTAGGGTCAGATAGAAGGGGATGAGGATAACCTCTATCAGTGGACTAGGAGAGGGACATAGGGGAAGAAGAGGGAGGGAGGATGGGAATGGGAGGAGATGAGGGAGGGGGCCATAGCCTGGATACAAATTGAATAAATTGTAATAAATTATAACAACAACAACAACAACAACAACAATAATAATAATAATAATAATAATATTTTAAAACCTAGTTTGTTTCACCAGTGAGACTCCCTTGGAAAAAATTCAGTTTTTATTTACAAGTGGTTATTAATTGGAGATAGCTTCTGGGTTAGGGATGCGGGTGGGTGTCCACTGCAGCTCTTGAACCCCATCTGGTGCAGACCCGTGCAGGCCCTGTTCATGCTGCCTCCGTTTTTGTGAGTTTATATGTATGCCAATCCTGTTGATTTAGTGGGGCCTTGTTTCCTTGAAGTGCTCCATCCTCTCTGGCTCATACATTCTGTTTACCTCCTCTTCCTTCCTCAGGGTTCCCTGAGCTGTAAGGGGAGACATTTGGTGGAGACATCCCAGTTAGGACTGAGTGTTCCAAGGTCTCTCACTCTGTGCATAATATCTGTCTGTGGATCTCTGTATTTGTTCCCATTTGCTTGAGCAGGTGGAAACTTGCTTAACTTCCTTCAGACCCATTTAACTCAGATGTAAACTGATTAAAATTATGATCACAGTAATATATAGTAATTACTATATTATAGTAATAATAGAATCTATATTATAAGGGAATGCTAAATTTAGAAAATATACAGTGTTTGCATGTGTGTGTGTGTAATTGCATGCTGTTCCTGGCTTTTAGTGTGACCTTTGTCAAACATATTATTCATTGCGTTTGCAATTTGAAAAGCTCACATTCTCACTCGTGTCTCGAGTCTGCAGTTTTTATTTATTACATCTTTTGGTGTGTGGTATGGGCATGTAAGTCAGAGCCTTGTGAAGGCCAGGTGGTTTTGAATAAAGATTGCCTTGAGAAGGTCAGATTTGAAGGAAGCTCTGAGGCGCTTCTGAGATTCATAGAACAGCTGCTGGGAAATAGGTTTCTGGGAAAAAGCCGTCATGTTCCTTCCTTTGCCTGCTTCTTGGCCTTGTCAGTAGAAAATTCAGGGTCAGGAATTAGGAAATATCAACCTTTGTC